TGCCGCAAGAACCTGCCCTTGAAGGTCACACTCAAAGATTGGGCAGGTGCACGCTGGACCCAGACGGTCGTGGAGCATGCTGAGGCAGACATACAACACATGCTGACGCAACTAGAGGAGTTCACGATCACTAGGACAGAGCTCAGTGACCCTCGCCCCAGACCCAAACGATTTATTGGGGCTCTCCTCGGCGCGGCGTCCGCCCTGGGCACCCTCTTTAGCTTAGGGATGTCCACGGTAAACGCCATCAGCCTATCCTCCCTCAGACGTCACCAACAAGAAATGGCCTCTGAGCTCGAGGATGTCAAAACCAGACTTGACCAACAACAGAACGACGTGGTAACCTTGGGAAAATCCCTAAAAGGAACCATGCTAGTACTTAACACACACGAGGTTGCGATTAAACGCACCTCCGCTGCGGTCAACCAACTCTTAGACGTCCTCCAACTAGACTACGCCCATACTCAGCTGACCACCCAACTGATGGAGGACATGCTACGTCACCTCAGTTCCTCGATCGAAAACCTAGCCATGGGCCGTATCCCGCCATACCTCGTGCCGCTATCGTTAGTTGAGAACATTCTAGCCGTAGCCACACGGGACGCCGTAACCCCCATGCAAGCCCACTTAGCGTACACGCTGGGCGCTGCAGTCCCCCTCTATGTTAATCCTCTGGACCGCGAGGTAGCCTTTCTAGTCACCCTACCGATAGTTCCCGGCGATAAAATCTACCGACTAAAAGGGATCACTAACCTAGGGACTTGGAGGGACAATGCCCACGTCAGAGTCCAGACCCCAGACATAGTAGCCTACCACGACAGGTATAAATTGGGGTTACTAACGCCAAACCTAAGGATGTGCACCCTCACCAAGGACATCCATTACCTCTGCCCCAGCAAACCTTTCGTCAGGGACAGCACCGATGGCATCTGCGGCCTGAGGCCCATGACTCCAGGGAGTCGATGCCCCGCGACGGTCACCTCTCGGAAACAAATAACCGAAACTAGAGCAGAAATTGTAGGGGCACGCTGGCTAGTGAACACTCCCCTTAGAACGGCGACCCTGACCTATGACAAACACGACACCTCGTCCCGAGTAAGCCTCCCGGACGAAACCTTTTGGGTCGACGTCCCAGCCGACGCTATCCTGCACGTAGGCGACCTGGCATTATACCACCTGTATCCGAACCAGTACGAGGCAGAGGTCGAGATACCAGAGTTCTTTGAGGAAAGGGCCTTGGAACTTCAACCCTCTACCCTAGTCCAAGCCACCTACGAGGGGGCACAAACCGTTGACGTTACGGTCGTAGACAACCTCCTTCAAGAGATTGCCAAGCGACCGACCATCCACCACCAACCAGTAGCCTACTCCTGGGCCGCCCCCGATACAGTCATGGCCATCGCGGTAGGACTCGGGTACGGCCTGGTTGTAGCCATGGCCTTCGTCCTAAATAGACGGGTTAGACGACTCCGCGATAGCTTTAACAGGTGCACGGAGGCAATGACGAGACAGATCCGTAGACGACCAAACCGGGGCGACAGCGCCGTCGAGCGTGGCAATTTGAGTCGGCGTCCCCAGGTCAATGAGTCAGAGTACGAGGACCTCCAAAGTCACCCACTCGAGGCGGTCACCCTTCCTATCACAGAAGGTGAACCAAGGGCCTAAAACCCCATTAAGAGTCACCAGCTCAGACCCAACCAATCTACCTCGATGCCTAATCAGTCTCCTAGATAATCACACCTGTCATCCCGTTTATATACAGGAAATGTCCCTTGTAATTAAATTCCCACTTGCTACGTCATATATTCGTGTAACCCTTACACTCCCCTTTTAGAACGAGCAAGATGGGAACCCCTCGCCATCGAGTGCCTTAATGACGCTCCTACCCGCTGCCAAGACAGCCACCCTTTTTGATTTTTGAAGTTTCCTATTTTTGTATCCTAGTCCCCTAAAGTAGAAACTCCTGCTACTCTCTTGGCTTGGAACTTTGAGTCTTCCAGACCAAGAGACCCAGGAGTCAGGCGCACCGGCCCAAACCTTAGAGTTCACGGCCGGAACTCACTCCCTAAAACCCCTGATCCCGGTTAGGACTAGCCTGCAGGGCTACTGAGTCACATTGAGACGGGAATGTTGTAACATGTCACCACAAATTGTACACTAACACCCGAACAGGCGAGACGACCGACTGAGGACAACCTCACGGCATATCCGACATGACATGCACCTTGTCGGAAGGTGCATCTCTGCCGTGGGGGGGGTATGTAAGGTTAAAACGGAGGACAGGACCGGCCGGGCCTGTTTTCTCTGTGAACCAGTGACCAAATGGAGATAATACTTCACCGCAACTTCAAAGGAACCATGGGGTTCAGCCACAGGAGCATGAGGATTACGGACTCCAGACGGACCCATAAAACAGCAGGATACCCATCTGGTGCCTTTTTCATGTTAACAGAGGAGCTGATACAAATCAGCATTGTCACAATGCATTCCACGGACCAAGGGGTCCACCCGCGGCCCTCTGACGCTCCCTAGCGGACACTGGACGCTACCGCACCCAAGACGAACATTCAAAGGGGACATTACTCAATGATATTAACGTTACGGACCTTACTCGTGTGTTTAATGTCTGTGATGTAAATACACTGTGTGTTTGTACATGTCTTATGATCATTTGCATCAATCCTGTATGTTTCTTTACAAACTGTCTGTGTAAAGGAGTTTGTCCACAGAGAGGGAAGACATGGACACGCCCCTTCAGAAGTCAATATAAGCACCCGCAAAGCAAGAGACTTCCTCTTGCCTTCTCCTGAAATCACTATCGCAACCTCCCTGGCTATCGGCGTCCCGCGGCACGTGTCTCCTACTACGGTCGCGCCAGCACGCATCGGGCCTTCTACTCCGCCAAACATACTCTCCTCTGGTTGGGATTTATGAACTCTTCATCACCAGCCGGCCCTGGCTCTGGACTCTGCGCACGTGACTCATTCCGGACTGAGTGTGCACGCCTGGATCCAAAGTTGGACTGCCGTCGCTGGCTTCATAATTCCCGCCTGCCCGGACAAAGAAACCACGTGGACGACATCGCCTAGACCCTATTCTTCATTCTCATCCTCCACTCCATCCTCATCCCAGTCACCCACTTCCCTCTACGCTCCTTCAAAGTAAGACTGTTCCTTTGTTAAATGTATGATTTGAATGATATGTGTACAACTCCTGCTTTTAATGTGACCAGAAATCCCTTTTCGTTATATTTTTACCCTCATTTTTGTAATCAATAAACTACTTTTCTTTAACTCAACCCCTTCAGAGTCGCGTTGTTAGATCTCGGAATATCACTGGCCGATAAAAGTACTCACTACCTATTAGATTTATAAGACTGACTCGAGGCAAAGTTGGTTCGGATCTGTGCAGTGTGTCATACACTGCTGGTGCCTAAATAAATATAAAGCAGATCCCCCACTCGAATAGGACGGCCAGACTCTGATTTGAAGACTAGCCGCACTATTCTTCTCATAACATAATCTGATGTATTATTACCCTAATACATATATAAATTATTACCCTACAGGAATGTAACGAAAGCAAATGGCAGTGACTTTCAAACCACAAAAAATGAAATATACAGTCTACCTGCATGGCTCCAAAACAAAATTCAAGTTCAAGACAGCATGTGGTCTGATGGTCTTATAGCATTTTACTCTTTCTGTTGGGGCAAACACAATGGGTGATTTATGAAACAAATAGTAAGGTACCTCAGCTTTAACCATATCCAACAATTCTCACTCATCTGCGCAATTGATCGAACTTGATACAAAACACATTTTCTTTTATCAAAAATAGGGGAAAAATATCTCAACTGCTGACCAATATGACGTTGACACTGGAACTCCCAGAGCAGTCAATTGGACGGGTTTTAGTTTTGGAGTAATTACTCAACGTGTGTACCTTTTTGATCTTCCTAAATGTATGGCTTTTTCTACAATCGATATATAGTTTATTTCTATATCATCTTTCATTTTTGAAGTGAGAAATCACAACTTGAACTCCATGGCACCATGGTTACCATGGCAACACACCGTTTACTGTGAGCATTCAGCTAGCATTTGGTAATCTTTCACCAGTGATAGCACTTATTAAAAGTGAGTAAAGGGTAAAAAGCCTCGTAGACTACTTACCTTTAAGTAAGTAGACCATGGACATTTTTTTTCAAAATGGCGTCAATGGGAGATCTGGTAGTTTCAGAATTGTGGAGTTTTAGTGTACGAAGTGACTATAGTTCTTTTCATGTGTACTTTTGACTTGTATCTGTTTTTCATAATTGTTGGGTGTGTGGACTGGGTCGTCGAGGTCTCCGCCTTCGACTGCCACCCAGTCCTCGCTGCACCTCGCCACCACGGACCCCTCTGCAGGTGGTGGGCCCACAAGAGGGAGCTGAGCCGAAAGGCGAAGCTCTCGATTTACCGGTCAATCTTTGTTCCCTCCCTCACCTATGGTCATGAGCTTTGGGTAATGACCGAAAGAACAAGATCGCGGATACAAGCGGTCGAAATGAACTTCCTTCGCAGAGTGGCTGGGCGCTCCCTTAGAGATAGGGTGAGGAGCTCGGTCACACGGGAGGAGCTCGGAGTAGAGCCGCTGCTTCTCCACGTCGAGAGGAACCAGTTGAGGTGGCTCGGGCATGTGTTTCGGATGCCTCCTGGACGCCTCCCTGGGGAGGTGTTCCGGGCACGTCCCACCGGGAGGAGGCCCCAGGGAAGACCCAGGACACGCTGGAGAGACTATGTCTCTCAGCTGGCCTGGGAACGCCTTGGGGTCCCCCCGGACGAGCTGGAGGAGGTGTGTGTGGATAGGGAAGTCTGGGCGTCTCTGCTTAGACTGCTGCCCCCGCGACCCGGCAACGGATAAAGCGGAAGAAAATGGATGGATGGATGTTTTTCATAATAAAGCTCACCCGCATGTTACTGTGATTTTTTTATCTTATGTTTTCTCTCTGCTTCCAGGGAGGCACGGTGATTGGGAGCGCCCGCTGTCAGGACTTTCGCACCAAACAAGGCCGCACTCGAGCCGCCTGTAACCTGGTGAAGCTGGGCATCACCAACCTGTGCGTGATCGGAGGCGACGGCAGTCTGACCGGAGCAAACCAGTTCAGGACCGAGTGGGCGGAGCTTCTGCAAGACCTGCTCAAGGCCGGTGAGGGGAACACAAAGACCACGCTCCACACAACTTATTCGTGCACAATTTTGAAAAAATATATCATTAATAATTATTTTTTCTACATTGCGATACATCTGGTTTTTGATAGTAAGAATGTGTAAATAGGGACAGACAGAGAGAGACCAGCGATAGACCAGAGAGAGAGACCAGTAAGCAGGACCAGAGAAAGACAAGAAAGAGTCCAGAGAGACCAGAGAGAGACCAGAAAGAGACCTCTGAGAGAGACCAGAGAGAGAGACCTGAGAGAGAGACCTGAGAGAGAGACCTGAGAGAGAGACCAGAGAGAGACCAGAGAGAGACCTGAGAGAGATGATAGAATGAAACTTCCTGATTGCAGGTAAGATCACGGCTCAGGAGGCCAAAGCGTCCTCTCACCTGAACATCGTGGGGATGGTGGGCTCCATCGATAACGACTTCTGTGGCACCGACATGACGATCGGGACGGACTCGGCTCTGCACCGCATCATGGAGATCGTGGACGCCATCACCACCACTGCCCAGAGGTGCCCTGCAGTCACCCGTGTTCAGGGGAAGAAGTGTTAGTGTCTATTCAATACAATTCACAATAGCAGTTATTAGGGAAAACGTCTGAAAGTTATTGATTCGCCGACACAAATCAGACAATCAAACAGTTAAACACAGGAAATGCAACGATATAAAACCACATAGAGCCATTGGTCCATTAGGGACAGATGACCAATGTCCTTAAATGATAATCATGAATGTTGTTGAATGTCGAGTGTCCTGGATCATCACCACTGCCCTTAGATCCTCCTGCATGAGAAAGGAAAACAGTAGCGAAAAAAGTGTGAAACCTCAAGGAGGCCTAAATTGAGGGAGGGATCCGCTCCCACAGATCCAGGACTCAGACCTTAGAACAAGGGCCAAGGCCAGGCGGTGCGGGATTCCCAGGCGCTACTGGGAAAGAGACATAGTCCCATTGCCTCACTGTTCTAAATGGGTTATTTCACAGTCTGTTTGTTAAGATGAATCCATAGACTATGAGGTCATGGACAGAGTGACTTTCTCTTTAGATACAATCCTGATGTTTAGTTTAGTTTATTAAGATCCCCAATAGCCACTGCACCTCTGTGGGGTCTCTATTTGACTTTTTCTAAAGTCAAATGGCATTCTTTTGCACTGGGAACCGGGATTGTACCATGTTAGCACAATCAAACAAGTTTGTGGCCTTACCATGTGTAAGTTTGGTATGTCAGATACAAGAAGCTAGTGAACTACAGTAAACTGTAGATGTGTCCTTGGGCATGACACTTCACATTGTTTGAGTCTGGTGTGTGAATGATTGGTGGTGGTCAGAGGCACAGATGGCACAGATTAGTTTCCACATATGCGGCAGTCTTCCCCAGGGCAGCTGTGGCTACACTAGAGGTTTGTAAATTATAAGGGCGACAGTGGGTCAGTTGGTAGAGCATTGTCTTATGAGCCTGGAGGTTTTAGGTACGAGCCCACCATGATACCTTCTACCCCAACTCCCACTGATGTCTGCTGTCGTTGTTTCCTTGGGCAAAACACTTATCCCCACTTTACCTGAAGCCCCCGCTAAAAAAACAAGGCTATGCCACTGAGCAGCCATCCTCCTGTGGACTCACCACCTGCAGGGGGATCAGTGAGGGGCTGGTGCTATGTGTACTGGGTGGCATCTGACCCCCGACGCAGAATTTGATTAAGGGGAAGAAAATGGATGGATGGATGGACAGAGTGTGAGTTATGACATGTGAAGCATTATGACATATTTTTTCTTGTACATCCACATCATTTTACACGTCTACCACTAGACGACAGTGGCAATGTCCCACTTCATATCCATTATGTTCATCCATATATTCTCTTATAAGGAAAAACCTGAAATGCCCAAGTCAATACTCTAAAGATAATATTTAAGGACTAGAACTAATTAAACAAATGCATAGTGTTTGATCCATGAAAACATTCTTTGAACTGGTTCTCTGATGTTTAACTACTGCATTCTCAAGAAAACCAAACATAAGTGTGATTGTGCTCTCCAGTCACCAGAGAACATTCATCCTGGAGGTGATGGGCCGACACTGTGGGTGAGAGCATCTTCCTCAGAATAAACATGCATGCATTTTATATATACTGTGTATGTTTCTCTTGGGCTTAGATAAAAGCAGAATATCCCCTGTTGTTGTTTCAGATACCTGGCCCTGGTCACAGCTCTGGCCTGCGGTGCTGACTGGGTGTTTATCCCTGAGATGCCTCCAGAGCAGAGCTGGGAGGAGCACCTCTGCAGACGCCTCAGTGAAGTGAGACACACTATTAAGGGTGAAAACTTGTATTTACTGTTGAATAATGCAACGAGTGGAAAAGTAATGGATAAACATGAAGACAGGAAAATCTATCAAAACACACAACAAACAGAAAGGAACATCCATTATAAAGAGAATGTCTGTAGTCAGCAGTGTGATCATAGTTAACACATTGATACTTTTCTTTAGGATGGTATTATTAAGATGTTTTATGCATGTCATCTTAAAACTATATTTTTTCTTGTACCATAACGCCAAAACACATTCCTATTTTGTTTTCGATAACTGACAATGACAATAACCTAACCCTCGCTCCCATGAAGGAGGGGTGCCCCATGAGGTGTTTTCATCTGCAACTTTCTTTTTCAATGGATTTACTGTAGTCTCTGAAATGGTCCATCTCTGTCTTGGCCTTAAAGGTATGTACTGTAGGAGGATTTTCTACTTCCGGGTGGATCATCAAAACTTTTGGTCCAGACAATTGTCAATCATTCTGGTGATACGTGCTCGCCAAATAAGACCAGAAAGTTATGTTCAAAAAGAGGAGAGAACGGTTCTTTCCTAAAATTTGGGAAAATCCTCATATATACCTTTAAATTAATTTTTTTTAAAGCAGATTTCCATTTTTACCTGATTTTTTGTTCAAGGTTAGCTCTTAGTCTGCGTTATTTCACCTTTATTAATCATAGTTATTTCAGCCTCCCATATAAAAACAAGTTTGGTCACCCATGTTAATTCTTCTCTATTTTATATTCCACATTTAAAACATTTACTTTTGTACACATTGAGTAGCAAAGAGAGCGAGGATCCCGTCTGAACATCATCATTGTGGCTGAAGGAGCCATAGACCGCAGCGGAGAACCCATCACCTGTGAACAAATCAAACTGGTGCGGACACTACAGTAGAAGAATATACATCTGTAGTATTTTTTCATATTTAACTAATACCAGTACGTTTTCCGTTCAGCTGGTGTCGAACAAACTGGGCTTCGACACACGCACCACCATCCTCGGCCACGTCCAGAGGGGAGGAACGCCCTCCGCCTTCGACAGGATCCTGGTACAAAAAATCCTTTAAAATACATGTTGAGCTCAGCAGTTTTGAGCCCGGAAGAGAGAAATTATGTCATAATCAACAAATGATTAAGAAAGATCGTTTATTAGTCCCACAATGGAGAGATTTCAGTGTTGCATCACCAGTTACAGAACAGTAGGATTGAGGAGCACACAGCACAAGATAAATGAACAATTACCCTTTAGTAAAGAAAAGAAAATAAAAAAAACTAGCATCCAAAATAAACAAGTATAAAATCTCTATCTTTAGCATAATGAGTACAAAAACTCTGACTTTTGCATAAAGAAGCATACTTTTTTTTTCACCAGACGTACACTCACACTATGTACATACGAAGCATACAATACATAACATAACACAAAAACAGAAACCCACTTACCAGGCAATAGGAAAACAAAATACACAAGCTTGCAGATGGGCTAGATGCATAGTAAAGACGTAGGACAAAAGACAAAAAAAACTAAAACAAAAAGAAACAAAATAAAATCACCAAAAGGGAAGTGTGTATTCTGGTGCAAGAAAATATAGTATAAAAACAGATGTGTGTCTCCAGGCGAGTCGAATGGGAGTGGAGGCTGTGATGTCTCTGCTGGAGGCCACACCGGAGACCCCCGCCTGCGTGGTCAGTCTGTCGGGGAACCAGGCCATCAGACTGCCCCTCATGGAGTGTGTGCAATTGGTGAGTATCAAAGAGGGCAGTTTGAAAACATATGACCCCTGATAATTAGCAAGAACAGACCAATAGGTTGCATTCATGTGACATCACAGCATTCCAAAGAGCCTACAGTTTCACGTTTTGGTGGAGGGCAGCTGATATATTGTTCCCAGTAACTTATTGTGAGATTCCAGTCTTAGTTTAGGGCTAATTTCTCAGTCAATCCAAATGAAACAAAAACTCTAACAAGATTCCACGTCTTAATCAGCAAAAAATATGGTCTATTTCTATAAAGGTGTCTACAATATTCAAAAATATGTATGCATTTCTTTCAGACATAAGAATGAAATGGTGAAACTAGGTACTGTTGTTTACCCAGTTAAATAATGATCTGAGAAAACAAATGTACATTTTCTTTTTCAACAGTCTTTTCCTCCAACTGAAATAAGAATTCTTGATCAACCTATTCAGGCTAAAACTTTGCTATCGAAGAATAATAATAAGAATAATCTTCACTATTAAATAAACCTATATTAGTCAAAATAAGCTTGAATTAGGCTACATTTATCCTGATTTTGCCCATATGACAAGTTTTGTTTATACCTTGGATTATGTCATCTGCAGTGTATAAAGGCATATGGACAGGAACACATGACTATAGTTCCATCTAGATTAATTTACATCATTTATGGCATTACATCAGAGCTTCAAAAGTGACAGAAAACGTAAAACTTAGTTACTTTAGGGGCTCTGTAGTGTACATAATACAAGATATAAAATTCTTCATTTGCAGTAAAATCACATTGGAAAATCTGTGCAAGACTACCCCAGTGTGCACCAGACTTACTATTGCCATAATAGATTTACAAAGGGGCCATAGGACCTTCTGAAGTTTTCGCCCCAAACCCTGAATCCATTCTACTGTATCACCCGCTCATGTTTCGACTGCAGCAGTAGTTCAGGATAGGTTTGGCTGCCTGTTAAGATAGAACCTTTATTCGTCCCAGAGTGGGGCAATATTGAGAATGGATTTTTCACAAATTGTCAATCAATCAATCAATATCAATATCACTTTCCCTTTGACTTTTCATAGACCAAAGACGTAACCACGGCGATGGCAGAGGGGAGGTTTGAAGAAGCAGTGAAGCTCAGGGGAAAGTGAGGCATGCATGCTTTTGGACCAGTTTAAGTAATTATAAGTCAATATTCATTTAACATGAGTCACTGTGAGCTGAATATTTGTCTGTGTTTCATAACAGGAGCTTTGAGAACAACTGGAGCACTTATAAAATGCTCGCTCACGTTCATATCCCCAACGTAAAGGTGAGAGTTGCCCTATAAAGCGATGTCCATTCATTTTCATCGCACAAACACAAATGTTATGTTTTCATAGTAGTATGTTGTATGTATTCCAGTCCATTCTAATAGAATACTTCAAAAATATATATTAATTTAGATTATTTATTTCAAACCTGCACAACAAACTTCCACATATATCATTTCAACAAGTAAAAAATAACAGGAACATGGTGCAAAAAAAATGGTGCACACACTAAACACTTCACGCGCACGCACACACACACACACACACACAAGACAATGCCATAATATTATCATGCAGTAAAATTCAAAAACACATAACTATACTATAGTTAGTACATGCTGATATACAATACATGACACTACCACAGATGCTTTAACACACACACTCAGACAACACACAGGCCCAAACACTCTCCGACCCGACACCTCCCTTCCACTACCTGCTCTTTGCTTTAGGCATCCCCCTCTTTCTTCCGCATATTTCTCCAGTTCTTCTTGTTTTTGAATATTTAATCAGGTTTTAACATGTTAATTAATATTATAAAACATTCGAAATAGTTGCCTAACACTTCTGCAGTTTGAGTTCTTGAAAATGTATGAACAGTGGGTGGGTTTGAATTACGTCTATTGTGGACATTTGATACAATCCTAATCCTAGCTTTGATCGTAGAGTAACATAAACATCGCGGTGCTGAACGTGGGCGCCCCGTGTGCCGGGATGAACGCTGCCGTGCGCGCCGCGGTGAGGATCGGGGTTCTGCAGGGACATCAGATGCTGGCGGTTCACGACAGCTTCGACGGACTGGCTCACGGCATGGTACCTACACGCATCATGTAGTTTCAACATTCGTTTAAAGATGGGGTATCTCACTTTTGCGTTTCTTGAATAATACATGTTTAGGATTGAAAGAGTGTTGTGGAAGCAAAACTACACTATGCTGTCTTCAAGCATGTTATCTTTTCATTCTTTTGCACTGAAAGAACCCTGTGAGTCATTAGAAAGAGCCCTGTGAGTCAGTATCTGATGGGCTGAGAGCTGATTGGATGAGTGTCTTTTTCCTGTCTGAAAAAGCTGATCTAATGATGTGAATGAGGCAACGAAGGACATTACATTATTACGCTGTTTAAAAGTTAAGTACCACAGCATTCTGATTTCTGATCGATTTTATTCCGTCGAGCAGAGATTTCACATTTATTGGTATTTACAATATTTACACACATGTTTCCGCTTATTTTACATGACCTTTTGCCCTTGTTTCGCCATGAGTTGTGTGTTTACAATTTCAACATGTGATTAAAAAAACATTTATTTTTACAATTTGTAAATGGAAATATTCCTCCAACAAACAGAAGGTGATTTTAGCTCCACCCATGCAAAAATCAGCAACTTCAGTAAAATTACTTTTTCACTGAATGTTGGGCGTAGAATTATAGAAGCAGAATTTTGTCTCACTTCTAACATCAAATTATGCACATCCTGACGATCTCCTATTCATTATTCATGTATATTTCATAGACATAGATCACTTTTTTACTAATCCTAACATAATCATTCCTGGTATTGTTTCACAGATTGAGCCGATTGGTTGGAGTGATGTTGCAGGTTGGACTGGGAAGGGCGGCTCCATGCTGGGCACCAAAAGGTAAAGAAATGGAATATATGTAAAAAAGACTTTTTACATTATGACTTTATCATATTTAAGGCTCAGAAGGTTCTTTTAATGAGACAAAGAGTGTGAAGCAGCTAGTTCTATGTAATTCCCACATGGTAGACTTCCACCTTCGTCAGAGGAGACTCAAGATGGAGTCACTAAATGCGGTCAGTCTGAGAGATGGGGCAGATCTGAAACAACATCAGAAGGAATGCCAAAAGAAACGACAGAACGACTTACAAGATCAACCAAGGAAAAAGCAACTGTAAAACTTCAAAATCATTTAATGGACTATAAGACTATAAAAATAGTTGGAACGAATGAACATAAATACAACATGGAGATGAGAGGTGATTAAATACAGGAAGCAGGGCGCATAGACCATCAACCGAGATGAGGGGGCTTTCATCTTGGCTCAGACTTCGGACCCATTTCCGTCAGACTGTGGCGTGGGCAGCCTAATGCTGCTTTTACACCGGATCATGCGTTGTGTCGACTTTCAGTGCAAAGTCAATGGTGATGTGCGTTTGAGCGTCAAACTGCATGTACGTCTCGGGATGCACGCACGGACTGTGGGGCAAAGGTGCAGCAGAGGCGCAGGAGCGGAAAATCTATGCATGCAGGAGATACATTTTGCTGAGTGTTTCTTTGGACGCTCGTGCAGCGACCAATCAGAGAGCCGCAAAGTGGTCACAGGGACATTAGTGGTCTGAGCGAGCAGACTGAACATACTGTAAACAGCCAAAACGGGAGCTACACCAGGACTAAACCAGGGTTGACAATGGGGGACTGTGTGCTTGTGAACATATGCGTTGTCATGCTCCCGTGACTTTATGCAACTGCTTCTTGCGTGTTCGCCGATGCGGAAGTACCGTTTAATAATAAAATAAACGTATGGTGCACCTCCATGAACACACACTGCTGTTATATAAAATCTCTGGAAGGTCTCTGGACAAAGAGACACTGCAGAGCTACATTATTGGAGAAGAACTTTACACAAAAAGCCACTAGCTTAACTCCGTTAGCATCCAAGCCCGCCCGCTACTTCCACCACTTCTGGCGCGCGCCACCGCAGGCCAGGACTTCTGGTGTGAAGACTCCTGCGTCTGAAAACTAGAGAATGAAAGCACCTTAACGGATCTGTCAGACTGCCCACATCCGGTAACAACAGCTGATCATAGACACGCCACACACGTGTGTCTCCTCTGACATGTCATGATTAAGCAGAACGAGCTTCTTTAATCTCTCTGTCTTAGAACTTAAGGTATAAGTTTAAGGAATGTAATATTTCTGAAGTCTCCTGCCTCCACAAGAGTAACTTTTCCTCAAACTTTTCTGGAAAATAATTCTGTTCATACAACAAAACACTTTGGTCATATAGCCACAGAGATAGATTATAGAGCAATTACTTGTATTATAGTACACTGGTGTTCATAGGTTTACATACTTACATTGAAGACATGTATCTTCTTTTTAATAAGATCTCTTCCAAATGATTTCATGGAGGAAATCAGTCTGAGCATCACAAAGTTCAACATTCACGGTCTGATTATCATTGGAGGATTTGAGGTAAAGAACTTTATAGATGTTGTGTAATGTTAAGTTGGCTCTAAAGTGATGGTTGTGGCGCAGGCCTTTGTAAGCGGTCAGCAGCTGGTCCAGGCCAGAGAGAAGTACGAAGAGCTGTGTCTCCCCCTGGTGGTCGTTCCAGCTACAGTGTCCAACAATGTCCCAGGAAGTGAATTCAGCATTGGCTCGGACACAGCCCTCAACACCATCACCATGGTATGATGTCAACACATGTCAACACATGTTTCAACATTGTAACTTACCAACAATCAGACTTGGAGAAGATCTGTGGAGCCACTCTCCCTTCCATTACAGACATGACATCTGTTTCTCACAAACCTGTCAGAATGTTCATGGACCCTATGCTACCATCACACAGACTCTGCAGAATCCACAGGTCACAACTGTGGGTTCCAAGAACTGTTTTATCCACCAGGCAAAAGCTCAACTCTCTTCCCTTTCCATCCTCTCTTAGTTCCCACCCCTTTCTCCCTGTACCCTGTTACATAATCAAGAATGAGAGAAATGTCATTTGGTACATCCGTAAATAAAATACATATTTTGAATCTTGAATCTAATAAATTTGCATCCACAAATAAAGACTGCATAAACACAACCTTATTTTCTTCTACTTATCCACTGTATTTGTTGCCAGGTTGTGAGGGCAGCAGTCTTAGCAGAGGCTTCCCTCTTTTCCTCTGTCCCTCCAGCATTTACTGGGTTTTTCCCTAGTCTTCTCCTAGAGGGTCATACCCACAACTCCTCCCCAGGGTGGAGTCCAGGAGGCACCCCAAACAGATGCCTGAGCCACCTCATCTGGCTCCTCTCCATGTGGAGAAGCAGTGACTCTACCCTGACAGAGTTCCTCACCCCATTATTCTGGGGAGCGATCCATGACCTCGACCTGTTGCTCATGACCAGAGGTGACGTTGAGAACGTAGACAGAGCAGTAAATCCAGAGCTTTAACTGCAGTTACTGCTCCCTCTTCCCTTGAGCACCATGGCCTCGGTTGAGCACCATGGCCTCGGCCCCTTTAATGTAAAATATGCCCATTCCTTTATGTAAGTGATGCATAGCCTATAAAAATTACTGAAATAGTTTGTACATATTTGTTTCAGACTTGTGACCGAATCAAGCAGTCTGCGGCGGGCACTAAGAGAAGAGTGTTTATCGTGGAGACAATGGGAGGATACTGTGGTTATCTGGCAACCCTGGCTGGACTGGCATCTGGAGCTGATGCAGCATACATCTATGAAGAACCTTTTGGCATCCACGATCTGGAGGTATCTGAAGTTAGCTCTGTGGCAGGACTCTCATTGTACTAGGTTTTCAGGAGTGGTTTGTGATTTCTGGCTTGTGTTTTTTCATTCTGAAAAAAACAAAGCACAATTCAACTCCTCCCTCTGCTGGTAGCATAGGGAGTTACAGGCCAATAGCACTGCTTACTTGTTTCTCAGTATATTTTCCACGAAGGACATCATGTCTCATTCTATAACATAGAATGTGATATGAAATTGAAATTACCAAGAAATTAGTTTCATTATGATTTTTAATGAGCAAATAATAATATAATGCATACTATTTATTCTTTTATTATAGCCTTTATAGACTTTTGAAACCATTATAATGTTGGATAATTTTCTCAATTTGTACTTCTCTTGAATAAGCTTTGTTTTTTCACTTTACTTCACTTATTAAACATTAAAATACAGTATACCTATTGTGGCGCCACCTGTAGGTCAAAGCCATATCCCATCAGACCTCTGAAGCTAAGCAGGGCAGGGTCTTGTTAGTACTGTGATGGGAGACCTCTGGCTGTAAAGTGCCAAACTGTTGTTTTGTCACAGTCTGATCTGTGTGTGAATAGTTGTTGGTGGTGGTAGGAGGGGTCGATGGTATATCCTGGTTGCCTCTCTTCTGTCAGTGTGCCCCAGGGCAGCTGTAGCCACAGTAGTAGTACACAAAAGTGCTGTATAAAACCAATGCATTATTATCATTACCCGTGTGAGGACTTGTTGTACGTCATCCTATCTGCTGTTTTGGCAAATATACTTTGCTTCTAGGTGAATGTGGAGCACCTGGTGGAGAAGATGAAGACTACTGTGAAGAGAGGTCTTATCTTGAGGTTTGCATTTACAACATTTGAAACTCCCTCGCCATCACCCACTGAACAAATGCTTGTTTCGCAGGAATGAGAAATGCAACGCCAACTACACCACTGACTTCATCTTCAACCTGTACTCAGAGGAGGGCAAGGGCGTGTTCGACTGCAGGAAGAACGTCCTGGGACACATGCAACAGGTGCGCCTCTTTTACCTCACTTAGATACACAAACAAAACCTAAAACAAATTTATCACGTTGTGGCAGATGTCAACCTGGTCTTGAAAACGCACCGACACTCAAGTCTCTTTTGCAGCCCACCCAGACTGTCTCTTGGCCTGTTTCTCTGCAAATCTCCTAAACTTTAGGGAAATGAGTCCTGGATCTGTAGGCTGTCCGTCCGTTGCAGCAGATCCCTCTCACAATATGGGCACAATATGTTTTTGGTTTTTTTTGGGGTCAATCCTTGCCGATGCAAGAGGCTCAAAGGACAGTGATGATCCAGGATATTAATGGCCCGCTCGCTCCCTATGGACCGATGACGCTGTAGAGCTTTAAACAAATAGATTCATTTGAATTTAATTATTTGTACAGAAAAGTCCATGTAACATTCTCTGTGTGTGTTGTTTGTAACAGGCTCTGTCTCTGCTGAAGCTTTTGTCTCTGCTATTTACCTGTATGTCCTGGTGTGTGTTTCCTTCACCCTCTATGAAGATTAAATAAAACAAAAGTAACCTCGAGGACCAATAAAAAATTAAAAATCCATGTTCCTGGATTTAAAACAGTTTGCTTCTATCACTTGCTTCTAGTTTCACACATGCATGTATTGAATGAATGAATGAATGTTTTTATGAATGAATGTTTTATTTGGACATTTGAAATGAGAAAAAAACAAAACAAAAGCAATGTAGTTATACATTGATTAAGCAAAATAAATAAACAATCGGAGTCCAAAATGGGAGTGGGAAGAAGTTAAAAAACTTGTGTAATCCCACCCCTACTTACAACTCTGATATTGCTGCCCTCTGTAACATCTTCAGATCAGCTTTTTCAGACAGAAAAGTGAAAAAGAATGGACCACCCTCAGCACATAGCGTCAAATAGTGACTCACAGGGCTCTTTCATTTCAAGTAGAAAAAAATGCATGTGTTATTTAAGAGGTACCACAGCTTCAAGAAAGAGAATTTAAAGAAATCCTCTGAACCTGGACTTGAAGAATTGAAAGACTTTCTTGAGAGATTACTTCTTTGCATCTTTAACGTTTTCACCACTTTCTCAGCCCTGGAGACTGGTGAAAATGAAAATACATTTAGTTTACTCATTAGTATGTACTGTATGTATTTAGATTGTAGAAGTGAACAAATTCTAAACCCTTGTGTTATTGTCTTTCTCTTCAGGGAGGGACACCGAGCCCGTTTGACAGGAACTTTGGCACAAAAATGGGTCTCAAGTCTGTGCTGTGGCTGACGGATAAACTGAAAGAGTGCTACAGACACGGTGAGGGCTTTTCACTTCAAGCTGCTACGGTGTAACAAATCACATCCATGTTCAACTTTAAGAGGACAAAACTTGGTTGACGATGGTATTCATTTGTCTGTTTTGGTAATCCTGTATTTTCTGCATGTATGGTCCATATTAGTCCTGCTTATTCAATGTGGGATCAATCATTCCATTTTAAATACAATTCATGAAAATGTGTGTGAATGTGCCTTTTTGAAGACAGTGGTGTTGCGAGCGTTGCATGGCCGTTCATTTTCTAATTTCTGTTCTGAAAGGCGCTATATGTATACTTCTCTATCAACTCATAAGTATATTTCATTGTGTAGACACTCAAACAGATAAAAAAGAGGTTATTACAACAGTATATATTCCTTGTCAGTATTTTTTCACTATATAAATTAGCACAAAATACTCTGTAGACATTATATACAAGAATTACATTCATGTATGGTGTTCATAAAATATGGTTAAGATTTGGGGATTAGACCCCGGCAGAATGCAGAAGGGGGAATGGAAATACAGATTATGATATGAAATTCCCCCGGGCCCTAGACCCTGGTGGTGGGAGTAAAGAGAAGGGGTTTACGCGGTGGCTTTGTGAATAGTACTCTCACAACAAGCTCCTGGGTTCAAATCCCAGTCGGAACGGGGCCTTTCTGGGTGGAGTTGGCGTGTCTGCGTAGGTTTCCTCCAGGTGCTCTGGTTACCCTACCACTAAAAACATGTACAATAGCTCTGGCATGTGCTTCCTGTATGGAGACCTGGCTCCTATCACGGTGTGGAGTGAGTGACAAATGCCCACAACAATTGGAAAGTGCTTTGTGACTCTAGTCTGTGAAATGCGCTACATAATTAAAGATGAATTACTTAAAGCGTAGGTCTGGCTGATCGGCTGCTACACGAATGAAAGCTTTCTGCATGACATGAGAGCTCAGTGCTTAAATGCTGCCAGATGACATGGACTGACTGATTCCATATTATCAACAAAACTTGTATCTCACATCTTAAATCTTACTTACTCCTTCTTACTCCTACTTCAACAAATGTACAGGTATAAGGGAAAAGGTGATGGAAAATATGTCTGATCGTACTATTTGGCATGTAATTTTATTGTTTGTTCATTTTTTTATTATTGTGTCAATCACATACATATGTTCATCACATCATGTACACAACATTGTTTCTCTTATTTTTACACATTATTTGTTTATTTTCCCTTTCCCTTCTCCTTGTGTGTCCCTTGTGCACCAAAATAATGTAATTTTAAATAATAAATATTTCATTCTTTCAGGTCGTATATTTGCAAACTCCCCCGACACGGCCTGTGTTCTGGGGATGAAGAAGAGACACCTGGTTTTCCAGCCTCTCTCAGAAGTCAAAGCGTTCACCGACTTTGAGTAAGAAATATTTTTGTAATGTCTGATGTTTGCAATCAAATGTGTAGTGAGAGGGCCACTTTACCACCACCAGACAAGAAACCCGGATTGTAAAACTTTTCAACTATTTTGATCTAAGTATTGAAGAGAATGACAAACGAGGTGTGTACAGGCCATGGATCTATAGTATCAGCTACAAAAGACATTTTATTGATGTTACAAAGCGACACAACCAAAGATTTGCTTCATGCCTGTTGATTTTATACCATGGAGGACTCCAAACAGCACCTGTCACGGCACCAGTAGCTTCAGCCCTCAGATAACCAAAACATGCATGGGGAAAATCACTGAGTCCTTCATACTGGCATAAAGATGAGTTCAGCTTTGACCATAGTCGCTTCTAAAGTGTTATAAAAGATCCATAGAATAGAAATAGAACAAAAACATGGGGTTTTCAAAATAGACATATATAACTGAGTGACATTGGCCTCTGCCTTTTTTCCAAACAAGTACAACAGTAATTTAGACAGAAGATGCAGGTTATGAAACTTCACACAAGTCACAAGAGGGATAATACTTTTCAAAATGACAGCGTTACGAGCCGTAGAGCCTTGTTGGGGTGAATGAAGCTCTGACCGTCAAAGTTTGGGCTGTTGCACACACTGCTCTTTTCTTTATAAAGTTGTCCTAAATAAAGTTTATTTTGCTCCACATTTATGAAAAACTAGCCGGCTATCTAACTATTAGTCAATTTCAATGGGATTCCAACTGGTCACTCTCTGATCTCTATCTGTGGTCTCTTCATTTGGTCTCTTTTTCTGGTCTCTTAAGTCTCTCTCTGGTCCCCCTCTAGACCCTCTCTCCAGTCTCTTTCTAGTCTAACTCTGGTCCCTCTGTCTTGTCTCCTTCTGGTCCTGTGACTTTATAAGACTTATTTTGAAAAGTCAGAAGTTTGTTTTGACCCATACATTGTGAAACATTCCTGTCTTCCGTGTTGTGAAAAGCCAGCACGGGTCCAAACAACACACCAACAGTTCCCACTGTTGTCCCTTTCCTTCCAGGCACCGCATCCCGACAAAGCAGTGGTGGCTGAAGCTGAGGCCCATTTTGAAAATCCTGGCCAAATACAAGGTCAACCTGGACACACTGGAGAAGACTGAGATCGAGCACATCGTCGCCAAGAGAAGTGCCCGCTAACATTTTAAACATTAGGTACTCTCAGAGGAAAGCCTGGATTTGTGCAATAACTATGAATAAAGATATATTTATGGGAACATTGTCTGAGTCTATTTATCAGAACCACAAAAACGGAAGGACTCAAATGCAACGACTCCAGGTAAGTTTAATACACAAAAGAAAGGCTGGAAAACTGACAGACACGGTCCAAGACAATCTGGCACAGAACAACGAAACAGGGGGGGTTAAAAACACTGGAATGGGACTGTCTAATAATACTGATAATAATAATAATAATAATAATAATACATAGTTTTTCCCAGCCGACATACTTGACACCTAAGATCGTCTTACATTACAAGTAAAAAAGTACATTTGAAATACATGTTAAAATAAAACTGTTAAAATACAAAGTTGAGGATGGTGTAGTTATGGTGATCGACTTGTCTAAACAGATGAGTTTTGAGGCTGGATTTGAAGTGTGTGAGTGAGTCTGTGTGTACGGAGGTCAGGGGGGAGAGTGTTCCAGAGCTGTGTTGCTAAAGTTGGGCAGATAACAGAATTTGCTACAAATCTGACAAACATTATTCCAGTTTGTATCATGATATCACCCAGGGGAGTTCTTGCAAAATGGGCAAAAGCCTTTCATTCATAAATAATACATGTTGTTGTGTGGATAAGGCTTGTAAAAGTAGAACGTTGTCAATAAAACCCCAACATACTGTTTTCATCTCATTAGAAAACATGTTGTCTTCTCCTTTCTTGTAGGAAACCATAGTTTAGGGCTGAGAGCTGAGTGAGGGAGATTTCTCGTTTTCACTTTTCTGTCTGAAAAAACTGATGTGACGACATGACAGAGGCCAAAAACTAGAAATAGAACCAAACTGATTTAAGACTCAATTTAACTTTCAATGTTGTTCATTTTAGTCTAACATATAGGTTATTTTTCTCAGTCCCTGATGTGTCTTTGTTGTGGAAGTAAATATTTTTCTCGGGTGACTGTGTCGTGGTGTGAATTTTAGGTTATTTTTCTGTATTTTGATTTAAGTTTTCTGTGGTTATGTTTTTTAGTTTTACTTCCTGTCCTGTGTTTCCCTGCTCCGCCCTGATGTGTTCCACCTGCGTCTCTCTTTTTGTCTATATGTACCTGTGTATAAATGTACCTGTGCTCCTCTACCCTTGTGCTGTTACATTGTCTTTGTTTGTCCGCTGTCGTTTTCCTGGTTCCCGTGTTTCATTTCGAATTTTTTGAGTTTGTATTACCTTGGACTTTCATTTCAATGTAATGGTTGGGGTCGGATCAGATCTCGCAAGATTAAAGCCTCTGACTTTCAAATTACAAAAATAGAACTTTATGTAATAAAATCCATCAAACTATAACAATAACTTGGATGTTTTGGTTTCTGTCACATAGTACCAGTGCATCACAGGGCTCAAAAAGCATACAAAATATAACATTACAAAATAAACTGAAAATAATTTTTGAGAAAGTTAGGTACCGTAGATTTAAAACAAGGGTACCTAACGTTCTTGAAAATTAATTTTAAAGAATAATTTATGCATATGAATTTTTCAGTTTACTGACAATAGCAATACTATATTCTATCCCACCATTTTAGTATTTCATAATTACTGGAAAAAGGAAGATATTGTCAATGCTTTAACCTTTTATTATAAAGTGGCTTTTAAGTCACTTGTTCCTCATTTGAATCACCATCAGACAATGTTGTGCTTGTAAAAATGTAATAAAACAAAAGTTGTCTCAGAATTCTTTTTATTGCCCTTGTAACATGAAGTCAATGGACTGGGAATTTGCTTTGGTACATCATGCAAAAAAGTAGTACAAATGTGAAATACAGGTAAAAAGCAAGCATACAAAATCTTTATAGAATGCTAATATATAATTACACACAATGGACATTTATCAGATGTCACTGAGTACAGATGAGTCTGAGTGTGTGAGAATATACTTCAAATGTACTCATAAAACTACTATGAAGGGTAACCAAGGGTATCCTGTCAGATGTAATTTACCATTAATAATTAAACATGTCATCATTCACACACATTTATTCTTTCAACAATTAACTCATCAAATAAATCTAATTTAAACAATGAAAGGTAGGGTAGGTTGGGTAGGTAGGGTTGGTAGGGCAGGTAGGTAGGGTAGGTGGGGAAGGTAGGGTTGTTGCAATGAAAATCCAAAATAAATTAGGTTCTATAGTTTAGTAATTAATTTTGTATTTATACATTCAGCCTACATTATTTTGAGCACTACAATTCCCATAACCGCCTGCGTTTCCGGATGTGTGCTGTGATTGGTTAAAAGCTACCATTCAAAACCATCGCGCGGCGGATACTCAACTCTCCACTATCCTTTTTTGAACCTTTTTCACCTTCTTTAACAATAATTTACGGGTCCAAATATGTTTAACAAACTACCAGCGATTATTTAATCATTAGAAACTATCCCCCTCATGTAAGTATCTTATTTTGTGTTTGAAAGGGATTTTGTTTGCTTTAACTAGCTAGCTACTTGTCCAGATTAGCAACTGTAGCTCGTGATGGCTAACAACAACACTTATTATTATTATTAGCTTCACGTTGACACTAGTGTTGACTGCTATGTGTATTTTTATTTATTTATTTTTTCCAAACAGATATCGAAATGAAGGTTTTAAAATTGGATGAATACATTAAACGGACCGTCTCCACGAAAGAGTCGGAGCTTCTGCGGCTTGAACTGCAGGTAAAATTGTGTTTGTTCACTTATTTTTAATATGACAGACAAGATTACAATGTTGGCAACCAGATAACAATGCAAAGGTCAGCTAAAAACCTATTTATTTGGGCAAGCGTTTACATAATTTTCTTGCGGCTGTTTTAAACCTGTCACTGAGTTGTCTTGGCCATTATATTTATGTATATTATCTATTTTTTGTATGCACTTTTTAAATTGTATTTTGTCTGTTTTTACCTGTTTAAACTGTGAAGCGCTTTGTGGCCTTGGTCTGTGAAAGGCGCTGTATAAATAAAGCTTACTTACGTTCTACTTACATTTATTATAACTCTCTCAAACGTGTAGATAAAAGATGGACAATTTTTGATATCTGTGAGTGGATAACTTGATGCCATTGCTACTTTTTCGTTTTATTTTGCTGAAAGTTGTGTACGGGTCCTTTTTATTAAATGATACTACTTGCATAATTCAGTAGCTAATATGTAAATGTTAATATTATAGATCCTTGTATAAATGATACATGTTTGGCTCAACAGAGTCTTTTAAAGGCTGAAGGAACAAAACAGACCACAACATATTATCTTTTAAACCCCTATAAGAGGGTGCCCTATGAGTCACTATTTGACTCTTTGGGCTGAGAGCTGATTATCTGAAAAAGCTGAAAAAAATCATGTGAAATTGGTGATTTAACCAAATGTATTTTTTTTCACAGCAGTTCATACCCAATGGGGCTCATAATAATGGAATTAATCTTTTCAACCTGACTCATATGGATCTTTTATTTGTTTTTCTCGGGCTGTGCCAAAAGTTGAGGTCTCATTAATTGCCATTTACCAGACATAATTTAGTGATGAAATAAGGGGGATGGAGTTAAATCTCATTCTTTTAGGTGATAAAAATATGAAGGGGATGTAATTAGTTTTCAATTTGTTTTTCTATGGTATATGATTGTGATTGGGTTAGCCTTGCCTACTGTTGCTTTAATTAAGATATCATGAATAGGTTAAGCCATTTGACCTCACATGAGAGAGTCTAATGTTTACTGTGTCTGCAGGAGTATGTGAGGGCTCAGCCGGGGCTCCAGGGCCGGACTGTGTGTGACAGAGTGCTCCGAGCCTGTAACCACCACCTCGGGGAGACCAAAGACCAGAGCCATGTGGCCGAGCTGGTGACGCTGGTGAAGGTCGCGGCGGACGGATATGACTCAGTGGGGAACAGTGCGGCCCAGAGCAGCGCCTTCTACCTGGAGAAGATTGTCTTTCACATCCTCAAGAAGCTGCGGTCTCTGGAGGCATTCGGCCTCTGCTGCGATGTGGCCCAGCTGCTGCACACGCGACTGCTGGAGGCCGAGCAGGTGGGAGAAGACAACTGCTCCAGTCACAGAAGAGCTTCTGATTTAGGGATGCACGGTTTTGGCAAAATAACTGATTGACTTTGTAAAACAGTGTAATTATAATTTAGATAAGAAAAAGACATTTTAACATGTTTTAGTCAGTTGGTGTGGAGGATACGGCAACATTTTGTTTGTTCGTCAAACTATCAACAAAGTATATATTTCTGAACATGCAAGAATTGTTTGTTTTTGCCATTTAATTTTCATATTGGGCCAGTTTTAGTCTGTATAGGGATTTAGTGATGATTACATTTGGCTTTTACTGGAGCATTGCACATTTTGAGTCCATAGCCTCAAAAAGTAACAATTTTAAATGTTGTTATGGGTTTATTGTGTCAAAATGATGCTAAAAGTGGCTTTCAGTAATACTTTGTGGAAGATTTTTGGTATAATTGCTTGGGCGATGGGACAATTTCTACTTAAGTCTCCGGACTTTGATGAACAGTATTTTTATATAAAATTAAGTCTGAAAGCTAAATGCAAAAATATAAACAGTGGAAATACAGAAGTAAAATTACCAATTTAATATAAGATTTACTCTCACACAGGAGAATTTTACATGTCACATCTGGCATGGATAGAAACACTCAAGATTGTGCAAAAGAAAGAAATGTTCAAACTTGTTAAATGCAGGATATACTATGTACAGTAAAAAGTGGCAATCAATACAGTGTCAATAGTCGTGCAGTGACTGCAAGTGACTTATTGTACAGTCTGACAGCGGTGGGGATAAAGGCCCTGTGGTAGCGCTCTCAGTCTTCCACTGAGGGAACTCCTCAGCTCCTCTACAGTCCTGTGCAGTGGGTGGGAGGTGTTGTCCATGATGGAGGTGACTTTGACTAGCACCCTCCTGTCCCTCACCTCCTCCAGAGTCCAGGGAGCAGCCCAGAGTGGAGCTGGCCCTCCTGACCAGCTTGTTCAGTCTACTCCTGTCCCGCTCTGTGCTGCCCGAGGCCCAGCACACAGCAGCGTAGTATATGGCAGAGGCTACCACAGAGTCATAAAAAGTCCTGAGCAGAGGCTCAAACATAAATGTGGTAGCTTTTTTATATATATTCTCAAATGCCACTGCTTCTCTATAAAAATAAAACTGATTCTTAAAGTTTATTAACACTACTTAATCCTGTCTGTTTTGATTTAGGAGGAGGGGCACAGAACTCTGGCAATGAGCAGTTTCTCCGTCTTATGGAACGGACTCTCGGCTTCTAAAGACAAGCCCACCCTCACTCCTCGGGACAGAATCCGTTGTCAGCTCCTCGCACTGAGCTTTCTCCTGCTCTCAGACCCAGAAAACGGCAACTGTCCTTCAACCGTGGCAATAACCTACGCACAAGACGCCATTTTGCAGTTTGAGGCCAACTTGAGGACAAAGGAGGATTCAATCTTTCTGTGCAACGAGCTCCACAAGTGCTTTTCGAGGTTTCTGATGGAGGGAAAAGTTGCAGGAAAAGACTCAGGAGAGCACCGGCCTAAATGGAAAGCGAGCTTACATCCAATTTTTCAGATCATAATCACAGTCACCAAAGCCCTCTGTAAGGCCGGCCGCCACAACATAGCCATTAACTTGTTGGATAAAGTCGACAGGGAAGTTCCCGGAGGTCCGTACATGGCGTTGGTGCTCGGAAAACTGGGCATAAAGATCCACGCTGCTGTGAAGGCGGCGCAGGAGTTTGGCCCCTGGCTGACGGAAAGCGCCCGGGCTCTGAGGTCCCTGGAGGAGGCTGAAGACGGGGAGGTAGAGTCTGTTCTGGACGGCTGTGGCCTCGTGGTGTGGGCCGTGGAAAGCAACCAGAACAAAGCCCTGAGCGGACCACTGCTCCTGGCCTGGTTCTCCTTCCTGGAAGAGCATCAGGAGTTTATATCCAAAGTGCTCAAGAAGGTCAGTATAAGAGTTATTGCTTCTTATGGGAACCTAACGTCTTTTTTGACCACAAGTCTTCGTTTAAGTGCTTGGTTAAATTTTATTTTTTCCTTCTTCCAGAACTCTGCCGGTGAAGCTGGAATCAGACTCCAGCAGGTCCTGTGCTTCAGCATCTATCAGGGCTTTGTGTTTGCGTACGACAGTCTGCAGGCATCACAGGTAAAGGGGGAATTCTACTAAAACCCTCAAATATATTTTAATCCTTGATGCCCTGACAAAGACCGCTTTTGGTCGAAACACGTAGGCAGTCCATTTTAATAAAGGACCTCAGACTTCTTTTTCTCTTTTCGACATTCTAAACCTGCTTAGATTGCCCTGTCTTTGAAGAGCACCTGTTTGTTAAGCCTTCTGCCACTCGTACCCTCTGCAGCACTCACCTACCTTGCTTTAAACTATATTTTATCCATATTGTTTCTTCAGCTGGAGGACAGCGCCGTGTTGGACAGAGTTCTCCTGTTTTGTCAATCTTCCACTGCTCAGATGATGAAGGAATTACACAAACTGGACAATGAAAACCTGTGCATCAAAACTGGTGACTATAGCTAACTCTTTAACAGTAATATTTTGTTGGAATATGAAATTGGAAAATTTCTGATAAAAGTTGTGGCTGAACATATTGTGCCGTAAATGTTTCATTAATAAAATGATTTATATACAAAATCACTGGCCCAAAGGTATCTAGGGAAACATTAAGACGTTAACATATTTCATATGCATTTATCACATAGACAAATGGACCAGTTCATTTTCATTTAAGTGTTAGAAAGCAATTAACACAACAATTAAAAACAACAGGTCAGCTCTGAGGACTTCGTCAAAGTTGTTGATTCATCAACAACAGATCAGAGAAATCAAACTGCTGTAAGTGCAATTATAATACACACCGTACCTAATTTTTCCATTGTGGGATCAATAAAGTTTCTTATGTTATAGGAACCATTGGTTCATAGGGAGTGGGGTGACCACTGTCCATAAATCAGTTTTATTCATAGAGGCCTTTACAACACAAAGGGCTTTGAAATAAAATCGCATACAATCCGTTACAGCATGATTGTCTGAATGTATGTATGTTTTAATTGCAAATGAATCAAAAAGTGACTTCACATTATTCAATATATCTTCCTCGACGAGAAAACATTTGGAGAACATACAGACACCCGAACAAAAAAAATTGTTCCTGATAACTGTCCTTAGACCCTCTTTCATCTGCAAGGAACTGCTCAAGATATTTTATTTGTTACAAATGTTTGCATATTGTTTTTGAGAATTAAAACAAAGATTACCAACAGGACGGAATCCATAGTAAAACTTGTAAATCTGAATAAACAAATACAATACTTCAACCAAAGGAATGATTGAGTTAATATATAATTTTTTGACTAATCTACATATGCATTTTTGTATGTTCTAAAATACTTAAATGTTCTATTATTTGACTAAAATCTTTTTAAAAAGTCTTAATACTACTTGCTGTGTGTCTTGTTGCAGTGGTGGCTGTCAGTAATTTGGCCTGTGGCCTTTATAACAGGCGTCTGTACGAACAGGCCTTTGTGCTGCTGGAGATCCTCTGCACAGACCTCTGCAGGAACACTCCGGCTTCTATCACCGCAGATCGAGTGAGTTTCACAGACCGCAGATTTGGTTTATTTTATTCATCATTTTTAGTTGTGCCACATGCAGTAAATGAAAAAGAATCAAAAAGTGACTTTACATTATTCAATATATCTCACCTCAAAGCCAAAACATTTGAAAAAAATAGACACCTGAACCAAACTGATCCACAATTCACATGCACTTGTTTTTTTTTATGTCAAAAGTGTTTATTTTATTTTATTGGGACAGCGCACACTGCTTAGCTTCATAAGTTGTACAGGATCTGGCTTTCATCTACCAGGAGACATAAAAAGAAAATAGAACATTTACTGAACGCAACAATATTAACAAAACATGATGAGTTCAAACCTCTTCCTCTCGTCTGCAGCTGAGTCGGCCCTTCATGTTGGCCGTGCAGACCTCGCGGCGCTCTGGTCACCTGGAGCGAGCGCTGGACTGGGTCATTTTGTGGCTCAAAGTTCTCGGAGACAACATCACGGCACACATGTCTGAGCCCGTGGCATTGTGGGTAAAAACAAAGATGGACGCCGCTAAAAACGCTGACGAAGACATCAGACTGAGGTACAGACGGACAGCCAAGTTGTCTGCTCGATACTCCTTACCTTTTACTTTGGACAACTGCTATAATAATAGCACAAATAATAAAAACAGTACTTTTAATCGTACGTGGCCAGAAATTAACGGGATAAATTATAAAGAAAAATGTTGGAGGTTTTTACAAGGTTCCTAAAGGTTCTTATGAAGTCTTAAAAAACATTGAATTGAGATATTTGCAAATGATACCTTCTTTTTCTTAAATCTTATTTTATTTGCATTGAAGACAGAGAATAATTCTTTGATTCAACTGTCGGCTGTACGGCCTCTTCTCCAACGCACCCGATCTGGAGTCATTTATGTGTGAATGTCCATTTCATATCAGGGTCTTAAAATGTATGCAGTATAAGTTTCATGTCTCAAGCACTAATATTTTGAATAAATAACATTGCCTAAATATAGAGTGGCCCACATTAAATGAGGGCAGCATATGGCCCGCGGACCTTAGTTTGAACATGCCTGAACTAAATGAACGGGATAAAAAATAGCTGGGAGGTCTGTAAAATAGTATGTTAAAAGTTCTTTATAAAAAAGTTTTGACTTGAAGAAACTCGTAGGAACCTTGTTACATAATGCCTTGATGAATGATGATGAAATGGAAGGGGGGGAAGAAGAGCATAGCGTGTATACCAATCTATCCAATGGTTTTAGACTTTCGTCTATTGACCGGTTGGCGATCATATTTGGCATGAAAGTAAATCCTCTGCATTAATCCGGCCCAGAGGCTGTGGCTCTCTATAAGTTAGTTAATTGCCTTGTGCTAGTCTCTAAATCACTGTTGGACATGAGAGGAGGTGGAACTGGGGCGGTATTTGACAAATCGTCCATTTTTTTTTCCAGGACGTTGCGTGACGGGTTTGGCAGCGATGTGCCGAAGGAGGCGGTGATGTTGTCTCTTTTGGAGGAGGAGCTGCGTGTCTACAGAGAAACCCCAGGGGACACCGCTCAGGAGCGCTACAACACTCTGTGCGACCTGCTGGAGATCTGCCACGAGGACAGTCCACACTCTCACCTGCGCGCCGTCTACCTCTGCCACATGGCCCAGGTCGTGTGCTTCCAGGACTTCAGCGAACAGACAGACTGGTGAGCCTTCTACTGTGGACAGTGTAGATTACTTTAATGAAAACGTTTGAGGCTTTCATTTTGTTTTGCATGAGAATGTTAAAGGCAAGCAATAAGTGGCATCGAAGTAGATCCTTGCACTCAAAACAGTTTGGTTCTATAGCTAGTTTTCTCATTATGGTGGGGGGAGCATCATGCTATGGGACAGGGAAGATTGTAAAGAATTATGTCAAGATGGATGGAGCCAAATACAGGGCAATTTTAGAAGAAAACTTGCTGGAGTTTGAGATCATCAGGACAATGACCTAAGCACAAAGCCAGAGACAACAGTTTACAACAAAGCATGTGATTGAATGGCCTGTCAGAGTCCAGACCTATCCAAGTGACAATCTGTGGAAAGACTTGAAAACCGCTGTTCACAAACGCCCTACATCTAATCGGACAGAGCTCGAGTTGTTTTATAAAGACGAATGAGCAAAACTTATCTATGATGTGCAACATTTGAAGAGCAGGGATGTCAAGTGGGTCCTCAAAGGGCCGTGTGGCCAACCCTAACCCAAACTTCTGCACATTTACTGTTACTGTATTTACTCTGGCCCTTGTCTTGGTGTAGCTCTGCAGTTGATTTTACCCGTGAGGCTCTGCGGCTGCTGGAGGAAGAGAAGAGGACTCCAGAAAACTCTGACAAGTTGACGGACGACCGTGCCCACGCCCTGTTATGGCTTTACATCTGTGGCCTCGAGAAGAACCTGCAGGAGGTGAGGAGAAAAGCCATCTTTATTTTAGGTCACCTGCAAACTCTGCTCACTCTAAAAAAAAATTATGGCATTGGTTTAAATGTAAATGTTTAGAAATTGAGTCTTGTTTTTTGAAGGAGGCATTTTGCAAACTCTTCGTTGAGCTTTCAACAACGTTACAACACTGTTCTCTCAAAAGTTCTGTTCTCTTTTTTTAGCTCTATTGCTGCTTCTCAATTCTGTCAATCCCCTTATGCTATAATGAATCCTTACACTATTACGTAATGTTTTTTATTTTTTATTTTCCATTTATTTCAAACCTCATCACTCATTTCACACACACATTTTTTTTACATTTTTCAATTTATACACAGTTTGAAATGTGTAGTGAGCTGCTGTCTTTTTAAACAAAAGTGTTGCCCTTAAAGCTGCACTAACTGACTTTATTTTTGTATTCATTACGAAAATGCTTTGGGATAACGTCCTTTGGATAAACGTCCTTTTGAAGAAAAAGTAGCACAGATTTGTGCTTCCGTGACATATTTTAGATCGAGTTTTGATGAAACAAGGAAGAGAATGTGTTTCGGGTCGCAGATTGTGACCAATCACAGCAGACCACTAGCCCCCACTTTTGTGAGAAATCTCCAGGTCCGTTAGCACAGACGGCTGAGTTAGCACAACAAGCCGAGGAGCTAACCTGAAGCTTTCTCGTCTTCGTCACCGGGTACTGCTTACACAGCGAGACAGCCATCCAAAAGAAAGTCTCGTTCCTCCGCGCTTCCCGGTTCTATCGTTCTATGGTCACGCCATCCACGTGCAAATCCATGTCCATGTATTATCCATATTGGGAGACGCTAGCTCCATCAACAACAGTGGGTGTGTGTGGGGGGCATGGATGTATTATATTAACTGGATAGGGTATTACTAGCTTGTAGCTGAATAACTCACATGCTCAGGGGATTCTCGCGGTACTGCAGACTGAACCAGACTAAATTCACGTGGGCTACCCAGAAATTTTCCCCATAGAACTCAATGCATATTAAAACAGCTCGACCTCAGCTGACAGAGAACCTACAGCTTTAATAAAGATCGGATTTTGTGGGGATTTTAGTTTCCCTTGTCATCCTGAACTTTTTTTCTTCTTAAATCCTTCGGTTTTGTTTAAATCCACACTTTAGTGCCACAAACTCTGCTCGTCTGGCTCTCGCTCTAACTCCCGCTCTGATGAACTGCTCTGATTGGTCAGAGCGCGGCCGAGCCCCTCTGTGCACGTGCGTGAGACCCAGTGTGAGACCCACACACGCGTGTTTGGCGCAACGCATTATGGGAGATCATCCACTGCGCAGAACCGGGAGGACCAGACGATGCCCAAATACAGGCGAGTTTCCCATAGATCTTTGCGAGTTTCAGGCAACTTCCGCTAATCTTTCAGCCCCCATGCTGTCACAAAGCGCCACTGAGCACAACCATTCATTTGAACAGGGCACCATCTTGGATCGCCGGGGCTTGGTGGGGGGCGATAGCTTCGTGGGTGCGGGGAGGGGAGCAGAAAGAGCGAGGCCAGCGAGTCCGCGGCTTCAAAATCCCAAAGTCAGTTAGTGTGCTGGCGAACTGCGTTGTAGTCCCGCTCCCCCTCCTCACCGGAGGGAAATGGTGGGTGGAACGGCTCACCTGCGTGATCTGCATCCACCCGGGGTAGTTAAAAGGGACGGACACGGACACTTCTGTGTGTGAGTTCGAGTGGGACAAGCGATCTCAGCGGCCAAGCAGCGCAAAAAGACAACAATAAAGACAAAAACTGTGCAAGAGCAACCCTCTCACAACCCCATGAGAGACAGCCGGTAAGCGCCGTTCCTCACTTGCAATCGCTTGAACTTACGCGGCGACGCGTTCAAGAGCCCTTGGGAGGAGAGGAAACACGGACTCAAAAAACAGTTACTTTGTTTGATTGTTGTTTATAAATTGTACTGTTGTTAGAGAAAACAAAACCTAACTCCAGGGAGGAATGCGGGTTAACTAGTCTGTGTTCGTTAATATTATGTTCACTACTAATTAACAAAATTCGCCTTATATTCGCGTTATGTTAAAATTATGAAAAATGTTAAGTTTAAAAACTGAATGTTTCATGTATACGGATCATGTTTGGAAAACGCAGTTCGCAATCATGTAAAAATCAATCACTTAGTGATAAAATGTTAAAATCAAGTACTTAGTGTTAAAATGTTGAAATATATTACTTTAAAAATGTGCTAAAACCAGAACTGTTGATCCTTTGATAAAAAGCTAAGATAATGTATTAAGTTTCAAATGTGGTTAAAAACTTAGGGAATAGACTTTACTTTTGTGAAAATAGACTTTAGTTTGTAACTCATTTGGTTAATTGGCATGTGTTAATACTACAATACAACTATAAAATGTATAAGAATGTTTAAAAAAGGTCTTAAACACACAGTTTACTGGTATTTGCTTAAAACCAGGTTAAAATATAGATTAACTCATTTGGGGGTAAATATTATTTAAAATAAGATACTATTTTGTTTACTAGCAGGAACATTATTTGTTGAAGGTGCAATTAGAAGACTGTTTATTTGCATAGGAAAATGACTGTATGTTTCTGTTCTCCTTTTGAGGTTTTTCACCTGAACCTAAAGCTGAAACCAAGCCAAATAAATGGCATGAATCAAGAACAATGGCTGATCATTGAGTGAAATCCAGTTCAAACTCATATGTGGAGGGTTTATCCCTTTCAAGTGGGGAATTTGCACAAACATATCACCAAATAACTTGACAGTGAAAAACCGTGGTCTGAAGACTGGAAAAAACACTAAAGTGGAGTGACCAGCGTGACCCAAACGTGTCCAGAGAGACAAAAGAAACTAGCTCCCAACCCAGAGATGGCCGAATCGGTAGACCTAGATCAGCTTAAATCTGCCAGAACGTCCGTAAAGCGTCAGTTTTCCCGCCTGGCCAATGGAGTTCTACGTATGCACACCATGATGTCCGAAGAGGAACTCAGAGACAGTATTTTAAAGCTCACAACAGAAGCCGGCAGAGTCCTAGAAGCCAACGATGATGTTGAAGAACAATACACTGCGGAGAGTGCAGATGGAACGTTGAGCGAGCAGCAGAAGTCTGACTTGGACAAAACAGCCACTGAGTGTGAGAGAAAACTGCAACAGTTAAAGGATCTAGTACAAAAGACGCTATGGGACAGTTATGGGGAGTATGAACTAACACAGGCTATCACAACGGCAGAGTCACAAGCCGAGCATGTGGGAACTGTAGACCCAAGTACAAGTACGGAGGCATTCGACTTTGTGATAATGCATTTAGAAAAGCTTGTGAAGACCGCCAAGACTGTACATAGACATTGGAAGAGCTGGGCCCCCCCTGCAGAGAAACAGCAGTTTCAGAGACGAATCAAAAGCCTTGAAACCATTTTACCAAAACTGACCATGAGAAAAGCCAGCTTTATAGAAGGGCAAACCCGAGAAAACGCTGGCCGGTTAAGCACTGCCTCGCTCATGTACTCAACTGCACCAGCCGTTAGATTAAGGCCAACTTCCCTCCCGAAGTTTACTGGCGTCCGCCGAGAGTTCCACCAGTGGAAGAAAGACTGGGAAGCGCTCCAGGTCCAGGGGGAACCATCTGGCTCTAGAGAAATAAGAAAATATCAGCTTCTAGATAGCGTAGATGAGCGAACAGTACGAGATCTTCGGCTATCAAGCTACACAACAGCAGAAGAAATCTTCCGCGTTCTGGAGAACCGCTTCGGGAATAAAACTAACATCGCGCTCGAGATAGTGGAGGAGCTCCAGACCTTCCCGGCAGTTAAAGGCAACCAGCCTAGAAAAATCGTGGAGCTCATCCAAATTGTACAAAAAGCACTCATCGACTTGAAGGAGCTGGGTGCAACCGGTGCGATAAAAAACCCCCTTGTCACGAAGGCCATAGAAACTAAGCTCCCAGATGCCTTAAAGAAGGAGTGGCTACTCCATGTGGCTGGCAAAGACGATGAGACCGAACAAGACAATAGATTTGATTACCTCCTGTCGTTTCTTCATGGTCAAGAAGCAATTTATGAAAAGCTGGATCAACTGAGAGAGGAGGAGTCAAAACCAAAATGTGAACCTCGTCAAGCCCGAACCAGAACATCCACCCAATCCCCGAGCAACCAGTCCCTAGGGTGTGTAGTGTGCGGTGACGGGAAACACAAAAAGAGACTATACTTCTGTCAGAAATTCAGAACACTCAAACTGTCAGAGAGGAAGGAAGCTGTGAGGAAGCTGGGAGCATGCAGAAAATGCTTGGAGATTCACAATGAAACTGAGTGTTGCAAAACAGAGTTCCTATGCAGGAGGCCGGACTGCAATGAACAGCGCACTGCAGAACACCATTACTGCCTCTGCCCAAAAGCGGACATGTCCAAGGGGAACCCAGTCCAAAGGTCTAAGGACATTACAGTGGGAGGTAGCTCAAGAGGACGCTACACCCAAGCCCAAGAAGATTTTATTAAGGGCCTCACACCTGACATTGCTGAAAAGTGTCGCAACGTCTTCTGCAATGCAGTGACCAAGACTTCTCTGTCCAACCAACCAAATCCCCTAGCAGAGAACGATTTAATGGAGTGGCCGGTCATTATGATGCTCTTAGAAGTCACAGCCAATGCTGGCCAAAAAGTTGGGACGCTAATTGACCTTGCGTCCGATACAAACTATATAACTCATGACGCAGCTGAACAGTTGAACCTCAGAAGTGAACCCATAACTCTTGTCGTCCACGGTGTGGGAGGGATGAAAGTACAAGTTACTACGAAACGATACCTCCTAAAGATCCGGGTCCGAACAGAGAAGGGCAACTACAGGTCCCACCAGCTCCTCTGCTATGGCTTGGACAGCATTGCAGATGTCCACAGGCATGTGACAGCCAAAAGACTCCAAACGTTCTTCCCAGACATCCCCCTCAGTGAACTTGTGAGACCAAAAGAAATCCAGCTATTGATAAGCCACAAAGAAGGCCGG